AATAATAATAATAAAACTATTGATTTAAGGTTACAGAATTATAAAAATCAGTTTTATGCAAATAAGTGCCAAACTAAAACAGCATATCTGTTTGATTAAATCATTCTATTTTTCTTCAAATCTGGACATTGCAACAACAATCCCAAGATGTTTCATCTTCCCTCAATACTTCATGTATATAATGCATTCATTTGTAATATTTCACAAACATATCTCAACACACATCATACAAGCTGTGAAGGATTAACAGCCAAAAAAAGTTCTGACAGCTGTGATGATAATCATAAAACACCTCTTGTAGTGATCTGGAGTACCTGGGAGTATAATATGTCACATTACTCACTTCTGCCACTGCCAGTTTTTCATTAGCTCCCCTCAGGTCTTGAGTCATGGTGTTAATTATCTGCTCTTGCTTCTGAGTTGTAGCCGTGAGTTTCTGGTTTCTCTCATGCAAAGATGTTATTTCTCGACGATACCCTTCAACGTTATCCTGAAGCATTTCGTAACTTCACGTGAAACAACAAAACAAAGCATAAATTCCTCAAATTATTTGAATGTAATTATAGGAGGTATATTCACAGAGCTCTATTTTTCATGCTCGTGCATGCCAATTTTCAGGTAGGCTTCTATGGGGCTCATGCAACTAGATAGTACTGTACATTCTTGATCCCACCCTTCAGCACTTTTGGCTTTTAGCTCAATAGATAATACTACTGCTTTATGGCAATTCTTCCTCAGCAAAATGTTATTTAATACAAAGCATGCAACATGATTCTACTGACAACGTCTAGACAAATATGGAAATGCAATTAAACAGCTACTTTACCGTTTGGAGGCAAACTCCAGCTGTGTGGATATCTTTGCATTTTGTGACCTTAAGTCTGTGACTTGCTCCTGAAGTTTCTCATTTTGTTCATTCAGTAACTTGTCATTCTCTGCCTTCTCTTTCTTGTAGTTCTCAAAAACTTCCTGTAACTACATCAAAGAAGAGACAAAAATAAAAAGAAACCAAATAAA